AAAAAAAGTCTTCGAAAATCCTCATGCATTTATACGATGACTTTCTTTGTGGCGTTTCTTGCGTATTTTTGACATTTAAGCGTAAAATTTTCTTTGGTCAACTCCTTCGTCCTCATTTTTAAAGCGAAAATACGAAAAAGTGAACTCGATAAAAGCGAAATGTCAAAAAAATCCCTCGATTTCGCTCACCGAGCGTGCTTGCCTACCCCGATGACTTCGCTACACTTCTTGCCTACAAGCTCGACACGCATGACTTTCCACCCAGGGGAAAAGTCATCGTGTAAATTGGCTCTAACTGCCAGATATGCATTTCTTTTGCTTGCGCTTTACATTTAGTGCCTGCGCTCCTTTGTGGTATTTTTCACGATCACGGTTTGATTTTTTATACTACTGAGGGCAGTTCGCGACGACATAAAACTCCAATAATAGTTTAGCGTGTCTTTCGATGGATAAGTTTATTAGTTACACGATAAATGTGTGTGTGTGCGGTGATTCTAGCAATTGTTTTTTTGGTTTCAATTTTATTTCAACATATTTTGATTAAAAGAAAAATACTGGGTATTTGGGTGAACAGCCAAAATATTTTTCTTTGTCCCAATCGCGAAAACTAATTTGTTCAAATTTTTCAATAGAACATCGCTGTATTGTATCAATGTTTTGACTACAAAAAAAAATTGTCCCATTTTTTTTACCAATAGCCCAATATAAAAATGTACAAATCTGTACAAATGTACCAATCGAGTGACACTGCCTTAAAAATTTATACAATTTAAAAAACAATTCAACAAATTTTCGTTAAAATTTCGAGTTGTTTAATCAAACTCTGAGTATGCAGTTTTGTAGCCCATTGAATTGAGTAGTCCACATGCAAATTTATGTCTATGCAATATTTTTTAGATTTTTAGTTTTTGGTAGTTAACGTATTAGTACACTGAGAAAAGAGTTTAGTTACGTAAACTAAATATGTTTTTCTCAACACATGATTGTGTGATAGTTACATTATTTGTTTACAGTTACCAAATCATGTGTTGAGAGGAATATATTTGGCTGACTTTTTTCTGAGTGTATTTAAATAGTTTCATGCCCACTAACAATACAGTGCAAAATCCTTATATATTCTGAAAAAATAGCATCAAATGTTAGCTACTCTTGCAAAAGTCGCTATAATATTTATTGTACGTACTTATACAAGTTCAAAAGTCTCCATCTTCTAATGAAAACTGCAAGAAAACGTGGCAGTTTCGGTTCCTAGTGGAAGACGTCGTAAAAAATAAATAGACAAATCTTCATGGAAGAGAGAACGCGAAAAGCAAAAACTCGCTATATTAATTTTTTATATGTAAAATTTGTAAAAACTACCATACTGCGATTTTATTTTTTAATGTTATTAGGCTCATATTTATCCAAATTGTCAGATGATAAAAAAAAGATCCAATTTGGATTTTACTTGTTGTTGCTGACGTTTTTTTAATTTATCGCTTACTATTATAAAATGACATGACGCAGTTTGCAAGTGGACTACTTAATTCTAGTAGAATAAAGTACGAGTTCCAAATGGCTGAAAATTTTGATATGTACCATGTATGAATCGTATGGAGGATTCGAATAAGAATCTTATCCGTACACTCAAAAAAAGGTTTAGTTATAATTACCATGATTCAGGGTTGCGTGATTTCAAATCCTTTTTGATTTAAAATCCGCCTTTAATTAACAAATATATCTGATTTGTGATTTGGTTTGTTGACCAAATCAAAAATAAAATTTATTTGTAAAAAAAAATAAGAAAAAAATAAAAACAAATAACTTAAGGACGAGCACACCTAAAAGTTAAACATTCTAAAAATAGAATTATTAGCAAAAACCAACAATACCAACAACCACGTGATCAAGTGAATTGCAGCGGAATAGCTGCGCTTGATTGTGTTGGCATAACAAAAATGAAAATAGTGGAAACAAGTAAGAAAGTCTAAGTTCGGGCGGAGCCGAACATTAAATACCCGGCGCAAGTATTAAATATATGTTTTTTCACCTTTCCGAAACCTTCCGCTAGATGGTAAGTCGGGGTGTATCAATTTTGAGTAAATTAGCGTCCTTCAATTTCGAAATATTGAAGTTTCAAGCATTTCTGAAATTTACCGTTATATGAGAAGCGGCCGTTATTTTAGTCCGATTTCAATAATTTTCAACGTTTTGCTTATATGTGGCAAGAACAATAACCACACCGAGTTTGGTATAAATTGGTAGAACGGTTACCGATATACTTATATGTGATCATAAGTGGGCGGTGCCACGCCCATTTTCCAAAATTTTACCATAAACGTATTTCTTGGTAAAGAATTGTTGCAAGCATCAATTTTTAATAAATTAGCTTCAATATTTACTGATTTATCGAAGATTATGTATTTCTCTAAATTACCGTTATATGGGAGTTGGGCGTGGTTATTGAGCGATATTAAAAATTTTCGGCCATTTAGTATGTTGTGCGAAGGCCAATAACTGTGCCAAGTTTGGAAGAAATTGGTGCAGCTGTTACCAAGATATACACATGTAACCATAAGTGGGCGTGGCTACGCCCATTTTCCAAAAATTTATAATATTCTTATTTTTCGTCTAAAAATTATTGTAAATATCAATTTTGAGTGAATTATCTTCAGTAGTTACTAAAATATCGCAGTTTTCGTATTTCTGGAAATTACCGTTATATGGGAAGTGGGCGTGGTTATTGTCCGATTTCGCCCATTTTCAATACCAACCTACCTTGGATTAACAGAAACCTACATGCCAAATTTCGTTGAGATATCTCAATTTTTGCTCGAGTTATCGTGTACACGGACAGACGGACAGACAGACATGGCTTAATCGATTTCTTTTTTCATTCTGATCATTTATGTATACATTTGTCTATATCTATCTCGATTCGTTTTGGCTGTTACAAACAACCGTTATGTGAACAAAATTAATATACCCTTGTGCACAAGTGCGCTCGGGTATAAAAAGCAAACGATAATTTACAAGGCGTACTTAGCACTGTGCATAGGCAACTGGCTGAGTCAGTGGGATCGTCGGTTCGAATCCTACTGAAAGAAGTCTGATGAGGAAATATGGTGATTTCCGAAAGAGCTATCACTTCTACCATTTTTTTAAATTATTGGTGCTTTTCCACAATAAAAATTTTCATTTAAAACGGCCTCGAGCTCAACATAAATTGTTGAATATAATATTTATAAAGGCCAAAAAAAAATAAAATAAAATAACAAAAACATTTATTTGTAATTTGATTTGTCAACCAAATAAGAAATACATTTTTATTTGTGACTAGCAGACCCGGCGAACTTCGTCCCGCCCAAAATTTTTATTTTTTTATTGAAACTTTTTGGTCCAACATTTTCACCAACAATTCACGTTTACGATTTTCATTGGCACATTCATCTGCTTAGATTATGGTTTGGTGGTCAATTTCCGCTCTAAATATCCTAGGGAAAGTGTCATATCCGTGAAGAAATTCTTGAAATTCTCCAACTGTGCAGCATTTCATAGCACAGTTATTCGCAAAACGAAATAAATGAAATGAAGAATATTTTCCTCTTCACTCCCTGGCGGCAACAATGACCCGGTTCTATAGTGAATCTGTCCTAGAAGCTTTACAGTATAGTTGGTGGCAATTTCAAAATGGGTGCGAATCCTTTTCTACAGAAATGCAATATACATACATATACTTAGACGAAATACCTAAAAGCTGGAACGCATAATAATACTTAAAAATCACATCCATTGGGACAATAGTAACACAGTAGAGTTCGATATACTCAATGATGCAATAGGTCGATTTAATCTGACCTTCACGGCATCTTTTCTCGCTTGGCTATTTTTACTATCAACTCGACTCCAGCGCCACTTGGCAGCACGTCTTTGCAATACTATTGCTCTTACCATTACGAATACATATTTAAAACATTAGCCAAATCGGATCATAAATAAGATTTTTAGTAATAACTCAACTACAGCGCCAACTGGCGAATTAAATTGTGAAACTAAACCATACAGAGACCCACTCAAACACACATAAAAAATTTCGATAAAATCCGTACAACCATTTAGGAGAATTTCCCTCACAAACACACCCACAGAATAATTATAAATACATTCAAATAAAGCTAAAAGTCGCTACGTTTGTAGACTTCACGCCCCCTTTTCAAATAGCCCCAATTTTCTTCATGAGTATGGGCTTGATTTCATATACATACATATCTCCATACGAAGATCCAGTACTGTACCATGAATACTTTCAGAGATATGCAGTATGAAAAACTCGGTTTGTAATGGGAGGTGTCACGCCCTCTTTTACAACAGCTCCATTTTTTCTCCAAGAGTATGCGATTGATTTCGTATATGTTCGCTCCTACATATCAATAGATAAAACCGACTGGGATGAATGGCTTAAATATTTCACACACTGTTTCAACACGACACCATCAACAGTACATAACTACTGCCCATATGATTTAATATTTGCTAAAATACCTAATGGTTTCGAACAATTTAGAGAGATAGATAGAATTACCCCATTATATAATGTAGATGATTACGCTAAGGAAGTTAAATTTAGATTAGAAGTAGCTAGTGTAAGGGCCCAACACTTAATAAATAAACAAAAATTAGCTTATGATAGAAATACTATACCTTATAATTTTAAAATAGGAGATTTAGTTTTATTAAAAAATGAATCAGGACATAAGTTAGAACTTCAGTATAAAGGTCCATTTACCATAAGAGATATACTTTTAAGAGGAA